AATTTATCAAAGAGCTTGCATAATGCATGCTGCACTATAAATAGCTGGCCACATTATATTTATCTGGCTATTCATAAGGAAACGTACAACCTCAAACTAAGGTATATGCATTGGCAGCAACAGGATTTGACTATTTTTAACAGTGCAATGAACCGTTACATTGTTCGTAACGATGTGGATGTTTTGTAACAATTTAACAAGCCATTTACAATAACGAGCAGTCTTTGAAATGAAAATGCATTTGCATAAATTTTCTTTCTGAGGTGCATCTAGGTTCTGAAACCTTATCTGCCTCCACATATACAACCATTACTTTTTAAAAAATTATTGTTAATAAAGATGAGTAAAAATAAAAGAATGACTAAAAAAATACAGCAGCTACCAAGTTTTTGACAAAGCCATAGCAAAAAAAAAAAAAAAATCAAGTCGCAGCTACGCATAAGGAGCAGTGTACGTTCTTCCAGAAGAGCCTTGGACCAGCATTAATTCTCATGCTTCACCTGAATAAATTATCCCCTGGGCTAGAAATAGAACTCTGTGTGAGCTTCCTTCTTCAATCCAACCTCCATACTCCCTCTGACAAACCTACATATAAAGGTTCTAGTCGTGGTGAAGACTTCAGTGAGTCGCAATGTCTACACGAGTCCACAGTTTCCCTTCCAGTTGGCTTGGGAGGGAAAGCATTCCCAAACCAGAACAAGTCCAATTCCCATCTACGATGAAAGTCACTGCACAACCTGAGGGTGGGCCGTATCGCCTGGTGCCACAATTAATATGATCAGTTACTACAACATCCCACCCCCCACCCAGCAGATTCAAGAGAATAATAACTCAGTTGTCACAAATCTTGAGTGCTGTACATCGCTATTGATCCATGAGGAAAATGCTCGCTGAAACAGAGACAGCTGTTCTCACTCACCAGACATGTAACCTCCAATAATTAACTAATTTCAGACCTCTTAGAATTAGCTGCTAGAAATGCCAACAGCTGAGGCAAACAAGGAGGCCACTCGGATCGGCTACGGGGGCTGCGACAGCTATCCACACAGCAGCAGCCAGCGAACAAAATAAATTTGTGGTAATTATTTCAGGGACTTGTAGCACAACTCGCATATTAACTCTTTTTAAGAATGCTTTGATGAGTTCAATTGAAGTCAATTAATTACATTTCCAAGTCAGATGAATACAAAGTCAAGACACCGCAGGTAGTGCATGTTATTCGATCACTGAATATGTAACAGAGATGATAGGATTTCGGTTTCCAGATTGTTTAGCTGGGTCTTTGAGCAATCAAGTGATGATGTCTGACTGAACACGCTATTGTAGCTGGAACGAATACGAAATCTCTGAAGCAAAATGCAAGTCAATCTAATTTGCTCATGATTTTTTTTTCTAACTAGCAAGCTTCAAACTGTTATTTTAAATGGCTTTAAAGCCTTGATATTTAAGTTACGTGGATGTTACTTAGCGACAAAGAAGAAAACTTTATGAGCCAAAAAATAGTCTTCAATCAGAAGCAAAAGCATTTTGAATTTACTTCTCACAATAGAGAATGTGAGAATAATAGGGAAGCTTTAAATCAGTAATTATGAGTTTCTTGAATCCAGTAAAGCGACAAATCCTCAAAAGTAACCTCGAAGTATTGCATTTCAGACGGCTGCATTTCTGGGTCACAGAAAAGTGATATTAGAGGAAATATTAAAATTTAGCTTTGTGTAGCAGTGTTAAATAGCACTGTAATCAAGATGCAAAACTTGCAATTCAGTTGGAAAATACACATAAAAGAATAGTCGGAGCATCTGAAATTACAAAGGACCACCCTAGAGACACAAATATTTAAATGAAAAGGGGGAATGCAGGAAAAAAAAGTAGAACGAACACAATGTTCTAGCAGAAAGAAGTATTGAAGAAAATGTGTCCTATTGACAAAGTAGTCGCCACCTTTACAACTCATTGATTTCAACATGATTCAAGATCATCTACTATCCTGAAAATGGAAAATTCACATGGGAAGGGTATTGCCACAAGATAAAACCAAGTAACACCCTAGAAAGTATCCAGAGTACAATGACATATTGACAAAAGGTAAACTGGATAACCCAAAATGCTTTTTTATATTCGGCTGATACGAGTTAGTTATTCAGCTATCAGGATAAATTTATTATCAACACTATAAAATATGAGCAGAACACCAAAGTGACTGGAAAAGAATTCTCACCTGACCAAAACCTTAGGTAAATATCTCAAATCAAAGAGCTACTCAGACAAAGATGAGGCTGAAATTGTGGTTGCTCATTTCTTATAAACTAGAATTTGTCAAGTTTCATAAATCCTCTTTATCTCCAGCAAGCCAAACATGACCAGAGACACAGGAAGATTTCCCAGAATGCTCTTTGGCAGCTTCCTTACAAGTGTTCTACGACTAAGAGTGCCAACTATTTTGATCTGAAATATAAATGTGCTTGAAAAAGAGCAGCCAGGATGTACGGTTTTGCTTTTCTGTTTCAATATGACGTGGTCCTTCAAATTTTTTGGATTACTTGGGGAAGAGAAAGGCGCCATGCTTAGTAAACATTCAAAAAACATTTTATACATCTTCGGAAGACAAGTGTTTACTTCCAGTTTGGCATGAATCAGAAACCATGCATGAGTATAGCAGCCTTTGAGCAAAACTGTATCACAATTAATCACGAACATGATTAAATAGACAGCCCTAATAAGCAAGAGACTCTATGCACGCAAACTTACTCATATGTTTTTTGGGCTCTGTGGGAAGACACTTTAAGCAGGTTGGAGGAAAGAAAGGTCTGGCCAAAAGACTTAAGAGTTTTGGCTCCAGAAGCAGAGTTCTATCTTTGGATGTGTGTGTAAGGTCTCCGTGCAAGGTCCAAACCCAAGCTCTCACTTGCAACCAGTAGAACTACTCAACTGACCACACAAAGCCCTTCCCTTAATGGCAAAACGGGATCCATCCTCCCTAGGCTCCGTTGCCTTTGTAACCCCATTCCCCATGCCCACCAGCTTGTGGCTAATCTCAGTGACCATCTTTCCCCGTGGTGACCCAGGAGATGAAGGGTTGCGTTAATTACCCCTGTGATGATAATGCCTCACTCCTGGCGACCACGTTTCCCTCAATTGCTGCCCATGACGCTGGTACCCCCACACATACTGAAGATAAATCACCATCATGGTACAGCCATTCTGCACTTACAGCAAGCCCAGCGCTTGCCTTGGCGATGTTAAACGTGTGCAGCCCAGGAGGGACTGTGCTGTGTGGTCCTTTCTCCAAAGCAAAGGAACACAAATAGCCTGAGTAGCTATAAAAGGGAGACAGCACTGCTGTAAACTCTTCAAAGGGAGGGTTTTATCTGTCCATAAAACTTCAAGCTGTTTATTGCCGCGTATCTGGACAGAACTATTTAAACACATGCTCCATCCACACAGTCATCTCAGTTTCACAACAAAGCGTTGCAGAACAGCTTGTGAAAACATATTGTTCAGTTAATTGCATTGGCATGCAGATGCCCTCACATTTATGAATTAACATCTATCGTGGCAAAAGGAGACAGAGGGACCATGGCACCCGGCCCTGTGACTGCCAAGAGCTATGCTGCCTGATGGAGTGCAGCCCACGAGCTCTGGGCATCCCTTTTCTGCTTCTGTGGGCTACAGAGGCTTCACCATTGCCAAAAAGGAATCTTCAAGCAGAAACTCAGGGCGCCTAAGGATACTAGGGTGCTTAAAGATTTGAGCGGTCCTTTGTCATCAACTGACTGTCAGCCAGGCATCTGAAAAATACCTAACGGCCTTAAGAATCTCTGTATTATTTTACTACATGCTAAAATAAAAATAAAAAAATCTCTTTTAAAAAAAAAAAAGTCAATGGCAAAGAAACAGCCCAACCACAGTGACACTTTGAAAGGTATCCAAGCATCTGTATAGGTTGCAAGAATGTTATACTTCATCAAATCCATGCTGCTCTGGAGGAGGTGAATGCAGGAAATGAAACACAAGATTTTATTTGACATGTTCTTACCAAGTATATTGATACGCTACACAAAATATTATGGAAGGAAATTACCTGTGTCAGCAGTAGTATAAATACCTGTCCAATAACCACTGAGACTTTTGATAATGGCCCTGTTAACACAGGGGCAATGAATATATGGTTGTCACTTAAATACATCCAGCAAGTCTATTACAAAACTCCTGAGATTAAACCTGGCACCTATTTCAACACCGATCAGAGAGAAACAATGGGTTTGAAATTACATGCTTTGAGGCCAGAGAGTTTTCAGAAGACAGAATTTGCAGCTTCTTTCCGTCTTGCACACTTAGGAAAACACAGACCACTTGGCAGTGGCTTGAATCCCTGCATAATTCACGAAGTTTTGAGTATTTTGTGACATGACAAATTGTTCAGGCATCTTGCTGCCATGTCCTTCTGTTGCTGTTGCCTCAAATCTTCCCTCAAGATTTTG